TATTGTATCAACATTTTCAAGTTAAAAAGAAGCAGTTGGCTGCTACTTCAATGCCACTTTATTTTACTGCAAAGTTCAATTCACCAAATTCATGCCTTGACAGGTGGAGCTTCATCTTCTCACGGGAGAAACCACAATTTTGCGTTCAGATATTATCCATGATTGTGGACGAAGCGTCAATCCTGCTGTAGATTTGGGACAGGTTAATAGCTACACTAAGCACAAAATTAAGTTCCTAATTTGTTTTTTAATCTCTTAAGTTTTGAGTTTGGAGGCTTTTAAGTTTCATATACCTATTTGTAAGTGGGGGTAGATTGATCGGATATCCAAGGGGCAGATCTTCTAATGATCAAGAATCATTCTGTGCAGATTGAAGGAGCCTTTGTTCAAGGAATTGGATTTTTTATGTCAGAGGAATACCTCACAAATCCTGATGGACTAGTTATTACTGACAGCACATGGACTTACAAAATTCCTACGATTGACACCATTCCAAAACAGTTGAATGTTGAAATTTTGAACTCTGGACGTCATAAAAACCACATCCTCTCTTCAAAAGGTAAGTTTAAACTTCATTGACTTTTGATTATAGGTTGGAAGAGAATGTAATTCCCTTGCGCTTCGAAGATCATTCCCATAGATATTTTTCTTGATTCCTCTGCAGAGTCCAATTGACTTTACTTTTCATTTGCTCTGTTGTAGACGTTAGTAGACTTTTTCTTTTATACGGTTTTTGGTTTTTCAGCTAAGGCCTCATGCAAAACACTAAAATATGCATTGGAATTATAGGTTCCACCATCATATGCAGGCTTAACGCAGAAGTAAGAAAGGAAAAACGATAGCATTTAACAAGATGAGTAGTAAAAACTGTTTCTAAGACACATCCAAATAGTAAAAAAGCATGTATAGGATCTGTTTGGAACGACTTTCTAAATATTTACGGAAGTGTTTGCCCTTAAACAGTCATTCCAAACTGGTTCCTAATTTATTGATATGGAGGAAAGTGGTAGCAATTGTAGTGAGGGTGAGAAATCTGTGTATATTGATGTTGTAGAAGGGTTTATTTGAAGTGGGATTTAATTAAATGAAATGCATTTGTGCAGCTTCAGGAGAATCACCATTGCTTCTAGCTGCATCAGTCCACTGTGCAACACGAGCTGCTATTAAAGAGGCACGAAAACAGATATGTACATGGAAACGTCGAGATGAGTCTGGTTACGCGTTACAGCTAGATGTTCCAGCTACCATGCCTGTTGTTAAAGAGCTCTGTGGGCTGGACTCTGTGGAAAGTTACCTGAAATGGATCAAGGAATGGAGAAGCACAGTGAGCTGATCACAAACTTTTCCTCCCAAAACACAAGTCATGCCAATAAATTCATGATAATGAATGTAATGCACTTTCTCATTTTCTAAGTTTATTTGCAGCAGATAAATAAATAGGACTACAAAGATCATGGGTTACTTGTGATTTTACTTTTCAAGTGAGGGCTATTAGTGCTAGTCGAACTCGAGTAAAAAAACGTTTCTTATTTACTTCTTGACCTTTGTGACATGAAATATAACTTTGCATTGAAGTAACGAAAAGAGATTATTGCTCTAACATGCGAATGCAAAAACGACAAAAGAAAAACAACAAAAACTAAAATCAAAGGGGAGCTAAAAAAGGTTTGTGTTTAAGGCAATGATGGACTCTTAAATTATGGGAAATGTAGAGGCCAGAGCAGTGGATTGAAAATCAACAATGTTGTATATTGAGATGTGGTATACTAAACTATGTATATTGAGATGTGGTATACTAAATCAATCTTTGCGTATAATACAACTCGATCATGGTTTCTGATAAGATATGCATGCAGCTGAATCTGTAATGTACCACACTTGATTAAAGAGAAACGAGAGAAAACAATGACATTCAATTGTTTAAATTGAAATGGGCCATTTGGAGTTGAGCCAGGCATGATGAAAAACTCCATTTATACACAAAACTTCTAACCTTAAGAGTAATGTGGCATTCATCAAGATTATCAAACATTACCCAAAAGAGAGATTTTTGCAGGGTATTTCTTCCAATTATCAGTGAACATTCAGAAGTAGCCTTTCGTTAGCTATAGCCTATAGGCGCTTCGATGAGAACGCTATATTATTGGTTCGATGGAAAATGTTGGTACATTAACTTGTCATACACAATAAGGTATATGGTGTTGTTTGAGTATGTGTGTGTGTGTGTGTGTCTGAAGGGAGAGGGGGCAAGGGTATCCTTGCACTAGTGTACAGATTGATTGAGAGACAACTTTACAGCCAAAATCCAGGACACAGCTCTCCTATGCAAGGCAAGTTACAGTTGTGAGGAGGCGTAAATCATAGAAGGTGTCCAGCAGGAATTTCAAGATGATCAAAGAACATACTTCCAAAGCCGAGGATTGGAACTCCGGGTTATGAAGGATTATACAACTGAGGATGTACGTGCAGATCTTGTAGCATGACGAGTCACAAACGACTCGACGAGCGGATTTACTAGATGAGGTGCCTCGTCCTTCAATAATGCAAGCAAACATTGAAGTCAGCAAGTTTCTCGAAAAATTAATTGCACAAAAACTAAATCGCCTAGCCATGTAAAAAAGACAATCACAAGCTCACAACTAATTAACCACAACCAAACAAGTCAGAACACTTAGCATGAAGAGAGTGCGAGAGAGACCTGAGGACAGTGTCCAACATTGGGAATGACAACAAAGTCTTCCACAGATTCGAAATTTTCGTAATTTCTTCCAAGCTCAATCGGCTCCCACGGATCTTTGTCACCCCACCCGATCAATACAGGACACTGAAGAAGAGAAAATGAGAAAAGGCAACAATGGTATGGAGAAAATTGGAGTTCCAAAGAGTACCAACTTTAGAGGAAGGCAACCTTCACGTTAGGCAAAAGTTCTTCAGGAAGGGGCCCGCCTGAGTAACAAATGAACTCCAGAAAGACATCGGCGGCACCCGGCTGTAATCCGGGATTGAGGATAATTTGGACTAGTTCATCCGTAACTTGGGAGGTGTCATGGTAACACTGCAGGAAACGTGTAAAAGGCAATCACAACACCATAAAAGAAATGTTGCGTCTTTAGGAACCTTGTTCTTATAATCACTTCATCCTTTTATTTTTAATTTTCCGAGGTAGCTAGTAATACAGAGAAAAATTAAATAAATAGAGAAAGGTATACCGAGAAAAAACTTAGAACTCCTATTAATTGATCAAGTAATAATCAAAACATCTAAAAACTTAGAATCATAACAGATTTTGTTTCTTAATTCCCCTACATCTACAGGCCAAGAAAATCAGTAACTTTGTTGAATTTTCAAATGAATTTATTTACTGGTGTTCTTATTCTGGTTCTTATTGCATCCCATAAGTGAAAAATAATAATAATGACAAAGCAAAAACAAAGATACCTGGCAAAGAATATTCTTCACAGCCTCAGGGGTTGCAACAGTTGTAAAAAAATATTTTCCTAGAGCAGTATTCCTGCAACAGTCGAGACCTTGGATGACAACTTCAGGCTAAATTCAATAATTGATATATGGGATGTCTTTTACCTCAGCAAACTCTGAAACGATTTGATCAATGGCTTCCCATACCAAGGCTGCTTCTTGATATGAAGCATACGTAAAGATATGTTTAGAAGAACAATACCTTTACAGATCTGCGGTTTCATAACTGCTGCCTGCAGACCAACTACGCCTACAAGAATATGCATTCAATAATGTTGAGAAATATGCTGAAAACTGAAAGGTTGTCTTCATAACAAAGAAAAGTATATCCCATTAAGTAAAAAAGAGAAGGATACCGATGAAGAGAAAAAGATTACACACTTATTACTCGAAGATTTGATACTAGTTATGCAATCATATGATCTATTTTTTTCATGAGATTTCCTGTGTGAACACAAGAAGAGGAAAACTAGGGATTCCGACATAATCAAGTAGCCGAAATCGCGGCAATTCAATCTCGAAACACACAACCACAACAATCGAATAGAAATAGAAAGACTATAGCTGGTTTTATCATGAACAGGATAGACGTGAAATAGAGGGAACACTTTTAGTACATAAGAGTCTATCCACTTAAAACAGCCTAGCACGGATAAGAACAGATTTGTCCAAGAGCAACTAGAATAAATGAAAAGACATTACATGAAAATAGATAAAAATGTGCAAGTCCAAACTTGATTTTATCAACTATAAGTTAAGGACCATAACAAGATACGGACGGCAAAAATAAAGAAAAAGTATTTACTTCAAAAATGAGATGGTCACCTCCTATCGAGTTACAAATAAAAAATGCTTCATCCTGAACCACGTCAACACAAAAATCATTCAGCTGGGAAGCCCATGTCTCAAATGTATAAAAGCTTTCCCCAACTAGATCTGGGTTTGGCTTGTCTGAGTATCCATAACCAATAAGATCAACAGCGTAAACTCTATGTGATTCAGCAAGGGCAGGTATATTTTTCCTCCAGTGGTCACTGAAAAGGAAGACAAATCATCAAGCACTGAACTTCGCATGTGGAACAAGATTCAAGGACGATGACTTGGTTCTTATTCTAGTACAATGGGGCAAGTATAATTGCAGACTTTTAGCTGGCAAATTGCTCGACCTAACTCACCCAACGTCAACACTGTCTAACCATCGCAAAAAGGAAATCAGTGGCTCAATTAGGTGCTTAGGCAAATCTATTATTGGTTAAGGTGGAAGACCTTGTTAGGAACCACGACTCTCCACAATGATATGATATTGTACACTTTGAACATAAGCTCTCATGACTATGCTTTTGATTTCCCCAAAAGGCCTCGTATCACTAGAGATGTATTCCTTACTTATAAACTCATGATCCCTTAATTAGCTGTTATTCTCAATTCTCCTTTAGTTTTCTATATAAAAAGGTCTTGCAGATGGACGTGGAGCCAGTCAGAAGTTCCTCAATAAAAATCAGTAACAGCAAAATAATTTGAATCCATACTCATAAAGAACCTTGTGTAAGTATTCTCTACAGCCCAGTAATCTTCCTAATTGAGGCAAAGGCCTGAGCTCCTCATCCAGGACAATAATAAAATACGCAATTATGAAAGAATAACTGAATAGATACCTAATGACATTTTCTAGTATCGGCAATTTGCATCGGTAATGCCTATAGTAAGTAGTATGAGAAGCAAATTTTGAATGGTGAATACCTGTTTGCTCCAAAACCATGAATCAATATCAATGCAGGGCCATGATCTCCTGCACATTGGTAGCGAATAGAGTAACCCCTCCAATTCCAAATGCTGCAAGACAGGAAAAGTGGATCAATTAAACGTTGAAACGACAGAATCAATCATCATTAAGGACACAAAAACGGCTACCAGCTTCGGACTTGGAGTTGGGAGCGGGTATTTTCGGATGAGATTTGCAGACCTTGATCGTCGAATTGGTCGCCAAATTGAGAAGATAAAAGAGAGCCATTAGACTTAATCGGATAAAATGCAGGGGCTCTGCGGGGCAATCCGAGTTGTGGAGAAAATGAATGAGTGAAAGTGAGTGAAGATGGCAGGACGCCGGCGGTCACTTTAGAGGAGGAGATTGATGGAGGAAGTTTGGAGAATGGCAGAGAAGAAGAGAGAGCGCCGGCCATGATTATACAGAGGAAACCACAACTGCTCGCTGAAGAAGAACGATATTTATATAAGGCGTCGTGTTGCTGATTTATCAACCACCCGACTCTCATCCCCATAAACATAGCTCCCGCCTTTTGTTCCTTTTTTTTTTTTTTTTTTCTTTTTTTAAAGAAAAAAACTAAATTAATTAAAAAATATATTAAAAAAAAATTCCCAAAATTCCAATAATACCCTCCAACTTAATCGAGGCTTCTCAACAGGGCCTCGTACCAATGGAGATAGTATTCTTTGATTATAAACCTATGATCATTCCCTAAATTAGCAGACGTGAGACTTTCATCCAACATTTCCCCTTAATCGAGGCTTGACTTCTTTTCTTTTGTAGTCGTAGTCACTTTTTACTATGCTTTTGAGTAGTCTCGACTTCTTATTCTTTTGGAGTCCGTTGTTCGATATTTGAGATTCTATTTACATGGCTAAGTTTATAGCATGACTCTGATACCATGTTAGATGAACACAATTCTCCACAATGGTATAATATTGTCCACTTTGAGAATAAACTCTCGTAGCTTTGATTTGGGCTTCCCGAAAATATCTCATACCAGTATTATTTCATTATAAACTCATGATCATTCTCTAAATTACCTAAATATTTTTATCTCACATAAACTAAAAATTAAAAATTAAATTGCTATTTTTTCATAAAAGGATTTAGAGGAATTTATTATTATTTTTTTTAACCGTGGTAAAAAGTAAATTAACCAGACTTTTACTAGAAAGGAAAGCCACAGAAGTTAAAGTCGGGTAAATTTCGATCGAGCGATCCAGCAACTTTTCACTT